GGGACATTGCTTTATGAGAGCTCAACCGTTGTTTTCGGCGACGTCCACCGCGTGCCCCAGAGCAAGCTGCAGCAGGGACGGTGACTTGAGCGTGAATTGGTTAATAGTGATAGTAGACTTGCACTGCATCTATCGAACTCGCTTCTCCTCCCACACCTGGACCCGGTGTCAAAACATAGTCAATAAGACCGAAGGCGGTAGAGAGCGCAGGTGGATAGTGCAGCGTATCCTGCCCGGGCCGTCAGGACATCGTGCCACAAACGCGTGACAAGCGAACGATCAAGGTCATGACCCCTGTTCACACCTCCCTTGTGCTGATTGGCCACCCATCAGCCTATGAAAGTCCCCCTTGCCATATACCCGGCCGTTTCCCCAAGCCTCCTCACTTGTCTCGTACTCAGTACACGTCCTATTTCCACTAACCTTTCTGTTTTGCATACATAACATTGGCGACGCAGCCTAACGAACATGTTTTCATTGCTGCCTACACCGTTACTTTTCTGGCCAAAGAACACCCAGAAGCCCTCAAATGACTCGGGGTTGCAATGGAGGAAGACATTTGAGGATTATATTGAACTACTCCCGATTTTGTCACCCACAATTATACTAGACTTCCCATCTAGATTGAAACTCCTCCGGACGAATCTCGGAGAGTTGGGACAACGATATTTCGATGTCCTCAATTTACAAAAGGCTATAGATCTCCAAACAGCCTTTACAAAACTCGAGTCAGCGTGTGGAGGAAAAGACAACGTCTTTCTCAGTCGCTATCGGTTTTGTCAAATGCGTCAAGAATCCAGTCAATGTGTCAGTGATTTTATTATAAATCTGACTCTGGCCATCCAGGACTGTGGGTATAAAGAGATCAAGGCAGACAACTTCGAGCACGCAATGCTCGTTCAGCAGTTGATCGTCGGTCTGCGCGATGAAAAAGCTCGGGAAAATCTCTTATCAGAGAAGAAGGATTTGTCATGGGAGAAAGCCTGTGATATCGCCAGTCATCAGGAGCGCGTGCGACAAAATCTTCAGCAGCTGAATCAGTCAAACGATGGAGTGATAGCATCCTTGGAATCTGAAATGGCTGTCTCCCTAGTCAATACTGATGTGTCTTCAACCAAACAACGACCCCCAGCTCCCTCAAAACAATTACCATCCTGCTGCCGTTGTGGTCAGCATCATATCCGGTGGTCAGACTGTAGACACCAGAACACGGTATGCCAGTTTTGCAAGAAAATCGGCCGCATCGAACGAGTGTGTTTCTCCAAAAGACGAGCGAACACTAACAGGCATACGACCTACCCTAATCCAGCTGAGAATGGCGAGGCGATACTCCGAATGTTTTCGGCCAACGCGCCACTCCAATTGCCCTACACCATCAGGCTTCCGGTTGATCACCACCCCGTGAAGTTTGAAATCGACACTGACTCAGCTGTTACTCTCATCAATGAGGCCTCTCTTCAGAAATTACCTTCCCTCCTTCCGGTTAGCTCAACATTCCGTAGTTATACTGGACAGAACGTAGAGGCTTGAGGGCTCTTTACAGCCGAAGTCAAGCATGAAGGAGAACTTCATTACTTGCCGGTTCATGTGGTGAGAGGAAGCCAGCAACCAAATCTCCTCGGACGGAATTGGATCAAATGTGTGCCTTCCGTTCTATCCTATGTACATCGGATTGTTGTAAATCCGGCTTTAGATTCAATTTGAGTAAAGCATAAGGATCTATTTCGTGACGATTCTGCTACCCACTACCGCAGTCCACCTGTCAAGTTTCAGTTTCAGTCAGATTTCCGGCCCCGGTTATTCAAAGCTCGTACAGTCCCCTATGCAGTCATCAGCCTATGACAGTCCCCCTTGCCATATACCCGGCCGTTTCCCCAAGCCTCCCCACTTGTGCTGTCTCTCGTACTCAGTGTACGTCCTATTTCCAATTACCCTTCTGTTTTGGATACATAACAGATAGCACGGTCGAGCCCGCACCTTGGCGTTCCACTCCACACCTCTTGGTTCACATAGCAAATGACCGGGATTTTAACCAACTACAACACAAGGGGCTGGCATGGCCGAGGCCGCACATAAGGGTGCCGCCCACACAGTGAGAATGCCATAGAGGCCACATTAAGAAGATGCTATTGCAACCTGAGTCTTAGACCACCAGCAGGCCGCTCCCCACAACACACAACCCTGTGCCGACTGCGAGGTCCAGTTTATCCCGCCACTTGGCAATCTTCCAATCCACGGCTTTTAGCGCGCCGCGATAGCTTCAAGAGCGTCAGGAAATGCACTGACTCGTCGATTTAACTCTCCCTTCCCATTCGCAGGTCCCAGTCACTGTCCGAGTCGGTCAGTTGACAGGTGCGGAGAATGGGCGTGGTGACTGCGTATCTAGTGACCTTGTCTGCGCGCGCCACATGAACGACCTGGCCTTCCAAAAACACAAGCACCAGGATTTCAAATAACGGGGGTTGAGCGGTGTACATCTCAAATGCGTGAGCGTCCCGTAGGTCACGTTGGAAAGGAGCCGCTTCAGTTAGGCTCTTGGCCGACTAATCCGCCACTCCACACACACACACAACTGGACAGCCTGCGTGGAGTGAGTTGGGGCGTCAGTCAGCAGCCTTTCAAGCCACAGCGCTTGACGCGCCTTGATAGTCTCAGACTAGAGTCACACATGCAGCAAAGGAGCTGCATGGAGACGGAGCCAAGAAGCACACCTCCCACGCAAGTGGGAGGTGGTAATTGGATGCTGGTGGTGGGTAATGATGTTGTGTGATGCAGGGGGAAGTTGTGGTAGTGTGGTGTGGCCCGAGGTTATCTGCCACAGGTTTTCGTGAATGAGCATATGACCGAATGGGCCTATGCGGTGAGTGAAGTTGTGAGGGCAGTATGCACATTAGAGGCGTATGCGGCGAGTGTAGGTTGGTACTCCAGGCAGTGGCTCGCCAGTCTCCGAGCGATGGATTGGCAAATGACCGATCAGACAGATATGTGAGGTAAAGGTGCAGTCCCAATGCGGACACGTATCTACCGAGTCCACGTCGTTAGTGTTTACGGTTTGGCGGTTACTGTTTGTCGGTGCGTGTGGATTGTGTGCAGGGGTGGTGGGTACAGGAGCCGCCGCAGCATATGTTTAGGCGACGGAGGAGGAGAGGAGGGTAATGGGGATCCGGGAATGCGTGCAGTGTTAGTTTTCGTCGTGGAGGACGAGGCAGGATTTGACAGGGAACAGCAGTTGGTGTAGTCCGGATGCCTCAGTTGGCACGAAGATGTCCTACAGGGCCAATTGTTGCCTGGAACGTACGCTGGCAGCGTGGGCAGGTCGGTGGCGGTTGAACGTTGGCGTTGAGGGGTGGGCGCAGTTGAGATTTGCGAGCCTCGCGTTCGGCTTTGGCGGCAGTAATGCGGGTGGCTTCTTAGATCGCTGCGCCTGTCTTCACTGTCCTCGTCTAGGACGGTCGGTCTCGATCGAGGACTTCCCAGTCAGCCGGGTTGATGTGTAGACGCTTCAGGGAGGTCTTCAGAGTGTCCTTGTACATACGGATTGGGCCTCATTGGCGGCATGGACCCGTGGCGATATCTCCATAGAAGAGTCGTTGGGGTAGCCGCTCGTCGTCCATCCGCACGAAATTGCCACTCCAACGCAGTTTCAGCCGTCTGAGCGTGGCGTATATGCTAAGGATTCCCGTCCGCTCCAGTATATCCGTGTCGGGGATCCGGTCCTGCCACCTCAGCTTCAGTATCCGTCAAAGACAGCTGAGGTGGAAGTGACTGAGTCTCCGCAGCAGATTTATTGTACACTGTCCAGGACTGCTTTCCATATAGCAACGTCGGCTGGATGACTTTTTCAGCTTGGCGCTGAGGTGGAGACTGTGACGATTCCAGAGTGTTTTCCCCAGACGGCCAAAGACTTGGCTGCCCTTGGAAGTCCGGCGAGCCACCTCATCGTCGATCTTGGTGCTAAAAGAGAGGATGTTGCCCAGACACGTGAGGTTGTCCACCACTCGCAGTTGGGTTTCGTTCGCGTTGATTTGGAGAGCGACGTAGGCAGCGTCAGGTGGAGGTTGATGCATAACGACCGTCTTCTCCGTGTTGATGACCAGGCCGAAGTTGTCGCATAAGGTGGCAAAGGGATCCATGTTGCTTTGCATGTCCCCTTCCGAGGTAGCGTTGAGGGCGCAGTCGTCGTCGAAGAGAAGCTCATGAACGGCAGTTGTGGATAAATGCGACTGGAAGTGCATCCTCCGTGGTTGAGGAGGTGGCCGCCCGTCCTGTAGGCGGTACGGATCTCGGGGGCGTTCCTCATTGTAGGCGTCCATCAACATGCCAGATAACATGAGACTGAGGAGGGGAGGCATGAGTACGCAGCCCTGCTTCACTCCGTTGGTCATTGCGAATGCCTCTGAGGCGTCTCCGTTTCCGTGACGCGCGCTGCCATGCCATCGTGGAGTTGACGCACCATCCGAGTGGATCGCTCGCGTCAGTCGAATACCTGTATGATTTTCCAAAGTCCTTCACGATTTACCGTGTCGAAGGCTTTTTTCAGATCCACGAATGTAGAGTAGAGATGGATCCGCATTTCCTGACACTTCGCCTGCAGTTGGCGGGTGGCGAAGATCGTGCCGGTGGTCACGCAATTACGGCGGAAGCCGCACTGGCTTTCCGGCAGGAGACCCTGTTCCAGATGGTCGTTCAGGCGGTTGTGATGGGCGCGAGCGAATATCTTCTCGGCGATGTTCATCAATGAAATGCCTCGGTTGTTGTCGCTGATTTGGCGGTTCCCTTCCCACTTGTAGAGGTGCACGATTGTGGCTTACTTGAAGTCCTGGGCGACTTCTCCTTGACGCCACATCTCCCGAAAGAGCCCCGTCGGATGATCCATGATGTGGGCGCCGCAGTGCTTGTAGATCTCATCAGGGATCGTGTACGATCCGCGCGCTTTCCGGCTGAAGACCTCCTGGACAGCCTAAATGATTTCGCGTAAAGAAGGCGTGAGGTCTAGGTCGGCGCTGGTCTCCGTCTGAGCAGACGGGCGATGGCGGTGTCGGAGATGGTGGAGGGACGGTTGAGAACGCTTCTAAGTCGCTAGGCCCATCGCTGTAGGATTTGTGCCTTCACGTTGAGTAGGGTATTGCCGTCAGCGCTGAGAAGAGGAGTAGTTCCTTTGGTTGGCGGACCGTATGCAGCCTTGATCGAGGAGAAGAAATTCTTCCATTCGTTGCAGTTCGGGTTCCCTTGGATCTCCCCGGCCTTGCGAGCCGTCCAGTCTTCCTTCACCTCCCGCAGCCGCTGTTGCACAAAGCGGCGATTACGGTAGAAGGCTGCTTTGTTGTCGTCGGAGGCGTTCTCGTCGGCGGCAATTGGAAGGTTGGCTAGTCTTTGAGTTAGCTCATCGCAGAAATGGAAATGGTGAGCAGGCAAAGACAACAAAGCGATATTCAGCTTACCTAGGGGACGCTTATCTTTAGGTCTCCTGCGAGGCTGTAGGGGAGACCGCATCTCGGAGATGACGAGGCGACGGTCGGTCCAGCCGTCAACACCCGGAATCGCCTTTGTCACCAGCAGTCCCGCTGGTCTCGCCACCAGAGGAGGACCCAGTCCATCAGGTGCCAGTGTCGCGACCGACGGTGCATCCAGTTGGCTTTCTTTCGCATCGGGAGGCGGAAGTAGGTGTTGGTCAGAATGAGCCGGTGTTCTGTGCAGGTTCGTAGGAGGAGCAGGCCATTGTCATTGGAGCCGTCGAGATTATGGGGACCCAGCACTACTTTCCAGGCAGCATGGTCTGTGTCGATACGGACGTTGAAGTTAACAAGGACAAGCAACTTGTCTTTGGCACAGACGCCAGGAGGGCGTGCAGGTCATCGTAGAATTTGTTCTTTGCAGCATCCGGGCCGGTCATTTGTGGAGCATAGATGCTGACGATGATGGCGAATTTGCTCTTCGGGGAGGCAGACGAAGGCTCGGCAAGCAGTCGTTGATGCTCAGCTTGGTTCTCAGCTTGTTTAAAAGAGAAGGGAAATTCCATGCTGCTAGAGTGATCGGACTCACCCTACCAGTCTGGTGAGGGGGGCACGGAGAGGAGGAAGGGGAGGAGAGTGTGTGTGTGCTGTTTGGGTTTTGATTGTTTTGACCGTGAGTTTTGCGTCTGAGACCACGGTCAGCCTGCAGACGGCATGGGTCCTCAGTATTCGTTTAGGGCACCTTTTCTAGCCCCGTCCCCCTCGTGGAAATGAATAGTGCTATCCCTAAATAGGGCTGCTCAGTTGCCCTAGATGGCTGCCGAACTCCCCTATGGGCCACGGCCTTTGGTTAACGAAATAACGACTCCAGTTAGCCTGGGCCTGCCTACGACACTGGCGTATGACTTGAAGTACCTACACAAAGCCCTCATGCTCTGCAATGATCGGGAGTCCTATAAAGTCAGCGACGCCGCCAGTCTAAAGTCACTAGTGGCAAAGGTTAAGAGAATTCTGGCTCGACTAAAGAAGGAAAAGGTCATCACCGCCAAAGACCGGTATACGGCAAAGTCCACAGAAACCGCTATGGTAAGATTCTACGCTCTCCCAAAAGTGCATAAGCCAGATGTTCTCCTCCGTCCAGCCGTCTCACTCCGAGGCATACTTACATACGGGCCTGTAAGCTGGCTATTTCAGAAGCTAAGATTCCTAACTGCAGACTCACAAACAACGGTTCACTCAGCAGAACAATTCCTTGACAAAATAAAAGCAGTACCGATCGAACCGAATGAGGGGATAGTGTCTTTTGACGTCGTCTCACTCTTCACGCCCATACCACAGATCCTTGCGGTTGAAACGCTCAGCGACATGCGACGTCAAAATTACGACGGGGGCGATGACCAGCCCACAGCTCAGGATATCATAGAACTCATACGGCACTGCCTCAAGACATTCTTAACCTTCGAAGGGATCACATACGAGCAAATCAAGGGCACTCCAATGGGTTCACCAATCTCTGGGCTCATTGCCGAGACGGTTCTGCAAAAACTCGAGAGACGACTGTTCGAGGAGTACAAACCCTAGTTTTAGGCGCGCTACGTTGAAAACACCTTTGTAATCACCGATCAGGATAAAATTTACTACTATGAGGAACTACTGAACTCAAGCATTCCCGATCTACAGTTCACGATGGAAGAGGAAGCAGGGGAAAAACTTCCATTCTTGGATGTTCTAGTCTACCGCCAACCACATACAAGCTGGCGACGTTGGTCTACAAAAATCGACGAACACGCTGCAAATGCTCAGTTACAACAGCAACCAGCCGCTACAGCACAAACTAAGCTCTGTCCACACGCTATACTGACGGGTGGAAACTCATTGCAGCACGCCAGCTGCCAAACTGAACGAGATAAAGCTCCTCCAAGAACTCTTCAGAGCCAATGGCTATTCACGGATATTCATTGAACGGGGCCGAAGGCAGCCAAAGAAATGGAATGAAGAGCATACCCAGTGAAACTCGTGGCTGAGCATTTCGTACATTAAAGGGGTCCCCGAAGCCGTGGCTAGATCCCTCGCGCCACTCGGAATAGGTGTTGCCACAGGCCTGATTCAACAATCCACCGGCAAGTGATGCGGCCAAAATATTCGATCCCTAAGCAGATGTCGGCCGTTGTCTACCGACTTCACTGCAGCTGCGGAAGGTGCAACGACGTTGGGGAATCCGGCCGACGGCTGCAAACGCGAATGCACGAGCATAAGTTGTCCGTGCGAGGTTGGGCCCAAAGTCGGAAGTAGTAACCCATGTCGCGCGAATGGGACACATCTTCAACATTGACGCTGTTGAGATTGTGGGCCGGAGAGGGGATCATACAACAAGGCAAGTGCAAGAAGCCCTGGGTGTCCACCGACTGCTCTGTCAACCGCCACATCAATTTGCCTCCCAATCTGACTTTACGAACTTTATTAACGGGGGACAGTCGCGGCGCGGGACAATCGGGGCCGTTAGTAATCTCCGCGACCGACGGGGGCGATTCAGGTCACCGTGACACGCGGGTTGGATGCAGCCACACAGGCGACATTGGCGGATCACGCATTGAGCAAAGTGCGCCATGTAAGGGGAACTGTGCGCAGGACTACCTAGCCTCTGAAGATGGGTAGACGAACTAACTACTCGAAACGTCGGACCTCCAATAAACCCGTCCCGGTGACCGCCTCTTCTTCTTTTGGTACTCCACCTAGGGATCGCATTTTCACTACTGTTGATATTTATTTGGATAGACATGGCTGGTGATTGATAGACCATGGGCCCTCAGAAACCCTTGTTGCAACCGTCCCACGGAGCTGCAGAGGCTTATGGGTAACAATCGATAGATTGCATCCAAAAAATCCGCCTAACCAAAGCGACCTGTCTTACGGGACAAGTGGTAAGAGGGGTTTTATGTGTGGTGGCTGGTCGAGATGTATGATACTAGCCGACAGAAAGCCTTATTTGAACAGGTGAATGATCGAAGTTGACCCGCTCTCCGTTCCGTTATTACAAAATGGGTCGCTAAAGACAGCATAGTGGTAACGGACGAGTGGAAGGCGTATAATCGTCTTCTCTCAGAAGGTTATCTACGTTTCTCTGTTAACCACTCAAAGAACTTCAAGTACCCTATCCCCGGACGGCACACCAATGCCATTGAGGCATACTGGAGTAGACTGAACAGGAAACTCCACGAGGGAGGCCCTGTATGTGGTCGAGCTGTGTGGGCTCACATAGACGAAGTACAGTATCGTCTTTGGTTTCGCCTCAATGCCACGTCTTTGACAGATGCCTGGGAACTGTTCCTGTCCCATGTTGTGCAGACTTATCCTATTTAAAAGTGATTTTGTTTTGTAATAAACAGCCATAATGCGAATGTATGCCGCATATTCAGGTGTACGTGTGTAACGATGGGGAAGGTTGGGTAACAGCGACCATCATCCATGTAACCTCCTGCGATGTTCGCTCAGCCAGCCCATGTAAGGCCGTCGGGGAAAGTGCAAGTAGTGCGTGAAAGTAGGCCTGCAACCGCTGATATAGCCTGAAGGCGTTTGGGTCCACTATTAAAGGTATAATTCATAGGTAACGGATGTTTTGCGTGCCATCTCCCGATTGTTCCCGGCTTATGTTCTTGTAGACTGCCCAATCAACGCACATCATTAGTTGTATATACACACCGGCTAATTCTCCATCGACACACAACTTATATTTTATGAGTAAGTCTAACTGATCCTTGCTCACTTCTCGGATTTCTCGTGCTTATGGCTCCACACTGTCCTCTCCTACGCGCTGATTTCGGTCATCACGTGGCAGTCAGCCGCTTGTGCATTTTTCCTCAATGTAAGTTTGCTTGCACTTTTGACATCCCAACCCGTCCTTGCATCTTCAGTTTTCTTGTATTGTACCCGTTGGCATCGTTCAAGGTGCCTAAAATGGCCGTTAAAGTTCTCAGTCGTGCGGCTGAGGGGGGCACAATGTACATTTAACATCGACTATGTGAATGAATACCAATTATTAAATAAAAATTTTAATGAACTGCTGCGGTCGATAGTACCTGCCAACGCCGGCTAATGCACCTGTTCTCAGAAATCATTTTCGTCCCGCGTATTTTCGCAACACTGTCAGCAATGATGAGTGATTTGTTACCATAATTCGATTCTAGTAGGCCCAATGCATTCTTTTGTTAATTGCTGAACAGATGACTACAACCCATAAGTTCTCAGTGATTAAAAATGAAGCATAAATTAACTAAGCTATATCGGCTATAATAGGCCTAATGAAGTAACCCAAGACTTCACGCAGTCAGATCGCACATTCTCGCCCATATGCTTTCATGAGGCCTTTCTGCAAAAGACGGTATTATGACTGTTGTTGCTAATACACACCCAGAAGGTTAAAATTCCCCACAAATACCAGAAGACACAAATTCAGCTCCCGAATAAAAACAAAGGGGGTTTATTTCTCGAATGCGTCACTCAAATAGCAACGAAATGAAATCGCCATTGTCATAAAGTAAAAAAGAAAAACTTCGGTTTATAGAAGGATTCATGCACACAGATGCAATCAGTAGGCGTGACTTGCAACAAAAATTGATCGTTCTCCGACTGGGGTTCGTTTCCTGCCTTCATAGGATCCCATTGAAGCGTAGCTGTTGGCCTGAAACAGGGAAAACATATTTTTAGGTTACTCAGCGTTATCCAAGTTATCGGCATTTCGCACACTAGTGTTTTCAACGCATAGCATTTCATATTGTGACCCACCCTTTGGTAGTCTTAGTGCCGCCTCTAAAACTGGCCTCACGACAGATGCACTGGACCAATTCAGGGGTTAGATGGGGTCCGGCAGGCATTATTGGGAATTTGCACCCACAACAAATGCCAACATTGGCGTAGGCCCAGGTGCAGGCCCACGCCGCGCTAGTTGTGATCCGAGCCACTCTCCTGTCTTTTCTTGTTGCGTAAAATCCTTGATGTGGCGGCACGCCAAGTGCGGGTTTTCTCCACGCCAGACACATGCGCCCTCCCCTGCCTCCGGTCTTCTTGACTGGGTCATGACACCTGGCGCAGACGGGGGTGGAGGGGGGAGTGTGCTGGATGGCGCGCAAGCCTGCTATCACTATAAATAAGTTCACGCGCAGGTCGCCGTTTTTGCTTCCGCCCTGATGTGGAGCATACGGTGGACGCCGTCGGAGACGATGGCCGAACTTTCGATAATCTCACTAAATTAACGGACTTGTGAAAATCTCGAGTCCGAAGAAGTCTTATCCAGGAGGCGGCTTCAGTGTAGTTTCATCGCGGTCATCAGTTGATTACTAAGAATGATAAATGTTGCCATCATCAACATCCTCTTCCCCATTTGTACTTGATGACTTTGTCATTGCCTTCCACAAATTTGGCCAAAACTGAGATGATGCGAATGTGAGAATGCTGGTCAACCACTTCATACCACACTAAGTTATCTCTCAGCAGGCGATACGGTAAAAGGCCGTCAACTCGGATGCTTCGTTGTGCTCCTGTCGATTGAAATAGGAACCGATCTCATATGCAGTCTCCCCGAAATTGGTTCTGCGTCGACGTCCGCCAGCGTGGTAGTCATATGAGGAAATGTACTTCTTTGACTAAGCCAGAAGTAGGTGTGGTGCTGAGCTTAACTGATTTCGATATCCACGAAGGAATTTCAACTGAATAACAATCCCCAAGTGTGCAGTTGTCAGTCGATGGGCATGGGGCGCGGTAAATGGTGCTGTTATAAACTCTGAGACTGACTTAATTACCGCAAGTAAGAAGTAGGCAAACGCTTTTGTTTTAATTAACCAGAGCCAATACTTAAACTGTACTTTTACCCTTCTTTATGACCTCTTTATTATAGTTTTGAAGTTGAGAAAATACCCATAGAGAGATTCAGAAGGCAAATTAGCGAACATACGTTTGTCTTCAATAAATCATCATCAGGCCAGTACATGGTATTTGTGTGGTATTACTCTCGACCGACCCCATTTTGCATTGCGAACGTGAGGATAGGTTGTCAACTTAGACAACGCCAATGTGCCTTTACCCTCCTGTACAGTAGGTTTAATTGGTCGCAGGTGTCGGCGCCTACCATCATCCGGAATGACCGAGAAGAGGCCAAATTAGGAACATTAGCAGTGCACACAACGTTGATTCCAGGTATCGTTTGGACCCAAAATAAGCCTTCTGTGTGATTTATGTTGTCCCACCGAACTCCTCTAAAGCACCAGGGCAGCGTCTGTTCGCAACAGTGACAGCCGCGTACTTGCAATGCAAGCAATTCTCCGCGCCTTCTGCCCTCTACCGTGACACGATTCTTCCTTACGCTCCCCCTTCTTACACAAACCATCATCACCTGACTACATTGATACTCACGGACTCCAAGTATCCCACTTCCTCCGTATTTCCCCACCGTTGGTTGCGTGAAAAAGGAGAATTTCTCGACTTCCCTAACGGCCCATATGTTTTAATTGACTCCGTTACCATATATCTGTGCAAACCTGCTGCGAATTTATCGAAGTAAAACGTATGATCGCCAATTAGTCTCCAAG